TTGGCTAACATTGTATCGCTTGTAACCTAGTCGCGTTCCCCTCCTCTCCCCCATCCCTCTATTGTTAGTCCCTCGCTCGGGTGCTTTGTATTTCCATATCAGCTTTGTCATCTTTTTTTCTGGATTCCCAATCCAAAACCTCTACTAATAAAAGTCAATATATCCAAGGACAATACATCTTGTACAGAACTGTTTACAGTCAAGAAGGTTTTCTTTTCCAAGGGAAAACTTCATATGAGAAGCAATAAAAGATAACACAAATTTGGGAAACTGGCACAAGGAATACTTTATTATGCCTCTGAATTTTCTCAGGCTTAATTTTCTATGTCTTTTTACTGGTAGAAAGTGGTTCACTTGAGACTCTGTCCTGCGAAGTGCAGAATATAGTCTGAGAGAGATGCTGTGCACCCTAAACCCAGCCTTTTCAGGGTGAACCTTAAGTGATTTTAAAAGTATGACGTATCATTTGTTCAGTGCGTTTATCCTGATGTTCATGAATCCATTTAACTCATACCTTTTAGAGGAGGTAGTGTAAAATATTTCACACTTACATTAATTATTCTGTTTTTAAGAAGTATACTTTTTCCTATTTTAGTGTTTAAACGTTTACAGTTTCTTTTTCTAACCATCCTAGGTTCTAACCACTGATATTTTTTCTGCTTCTTAGTGAAACACAACAGATACAGGATTTGATTAGACTTAATTACATAGCACAATATGTTCAATAATAATCTCAGCGTGCATCCATAGAGCTGCTTTTACAAGTCATGTGATGATAAACCTCTGTTCATTTGAGATCAGAGCTGAGTTACAAGTTATTTATAACGCAGTATGAGGAAATCAGATAGATTCACACATACAAGAGAAGTATTAAGTATCAAGCATTCTGATCACTTTGGGTATACTTTTAATCTACATTTTTAAACTATCAGTTTTAATTTAGTATTATTTTTGTGTTTCCTTTTTAGAATTTATTGTTCACAGATGAAAGTGACAATTCAGAAATAAAAATAATTGATTTTGGGTTTGCTCGGCTAAAACCACCTGATAACCAGCCTCTTAAGACTCCATGTTTTACCCTTCATTATGCTGCCCCAGAGCTCTTCAATCACAGTGGTTATGATGAATCCTGTGATCTCTGGAGTTTGGGAGTCATTTTGGTGAGTGGATGTTTGGGGGCTTTAATGCATTTTAATAGTTTATAACACACATCAATTTGATACTTTTGAATTACTTTAAATCAAGTGTATAGGAAGGGCTTGACATTGACCCAAATCAGTTTGTATTGGATAAGCACAGCTTCAGAGTGGGATGAGGATATTTTTTGGCTGTACAAATAGCAGGAGGAGAAGACAGGTTTTCTGTTATATAAAATGTGCATGTTTTCATCCATATTTTTGAGGGATGATAGTTATTTTGCTAACCATGTCTCTAAATAAAGTCCTGTGATTTTTTTTCAGACCTCAGGTACCTACAATTCTTCAAATTGAAGTAAATAGAATATTTAACTAATGTTCAGGTTGCACTACATATATACACTTTATGCTATGAACAACAATAATTAAACATTAAGTAGGACTGATGTTATCAGTTATAGTCTATCAAAGGTTTGCAATGAACATACAGTACTAATGAATGTTATTTTTGTTCTTCGGATAGTATACAATGCTATCAGGACAGGTGCCTTTCCAGTCTCAAGATAAAAGTTTAACGTGCACCAGTGCATTGGAAATTATGAAGAAAATTAAAAAGGGGGAGTTCTCCTTTGAAGGAGAAGCCTGGAAGAATGTCTCTCAAGAGGCCAAAGACTTGATACAAGGTATGTAAAAAAGATTTTTTATTGTTTTTAGCTTTAGTGACCAGAAGTAAAGTAGTATACATTAGGATAGGATAGACTTTTAGGATATGAACTACTTGGAGAAAAAATAAATAAGTGTGTGTCTGTGTTCTTTCATTTCTATGGCTTTATTAATTAGACTATGGCTTTATTAATGGGAAATTTATGAGAAAGTGCTATATTTTTTATTTAGAAGCAGTAAGAGTCAGCTTACTGAAAGTCAGTTAGGTGTAGATCTGCAAAGAGACTTACGTCTTGCAGTGCCCAGAAATAAAACCCTTATTTTTTAAGCATTTGGGTCCTAGTGTGGAATCCTCAGGCTTAAGTCTGATGCATTGGACACTCACTTGGTAGAAGGAAGACCTGTGTTCTAGTCTCTGCCTTGAAGAATGTTTATATGCTTTACATTAGGCACTGATTGGATAAAATACATAACCAGTCCTTGAAGCAGAGACTGGAATTAGAGGTGCAGTGATACATCAGTCTGATATCAGATCGGCACTAGTATAAAGAACAGTTTCTGCATCAGAAATTGGCCCGATGCAGCCGATAATTTGTCTGATAAAAGCCCGTGCATGCATGCAGCAGCAGTGCAGCACATAGGCAGTGAGGAGCAGAGCCAGAAGCGTGGAGTGCTGCGTGCACCTGGTAAGTCTAGTGTGGTGGAAGAGGAAAGGAAGGAGGAAGGAACATGGTGGGGAGGGGGCAGAACAAAGCCCCTGCAGTGAGAGAGGGTGTAGGGTTGGGGCTGCGGCAGGGGCTGACCAGCTGGGGCTGGAGTAGGTGCAGGAAGGAAGTGTGGCTTGTCAGGGGGTGTGTGGGAAGGTGGGGGTGGCTCCCATCACTGTGCACAGTCCATCTGGTGCTTGTTTGGTGGCTCCCACCACTTGTCTGGGAGGGCATGGGGGGAGGAGGGGAGGGTGTGCCCCCAGATCTGCACAGGGCGAGGCAGGCTGGAGCCAGGCTCTTCCCAGCTGGGCAGATCTGGGGACACACCCCTCCCCATGCCCTTCTGGACAAGCAGCAGGAGCTGCCAGATAGCACCAGATGAGCTGTGTGCAGCGGCAGAAGCCACCCCCTCCCACTGAGCTGCGCCGCCCTGGCCCCAGCCCACAGCTGCAGCCTGCCCCATGCTGTGCAGATCCAGGGGGCACATGTCCCCTGCCCCCGGACAAACCGCTTGCAGTTCTGTTCTGTGCCCTTCCCCACCCCAGCTGGGCAGCCTTAACCCCATTCCCTCCCTCACTGCAGGGCCCTTGACCTTCCCCCCGCCCCCACACTCCTTCCCTCCCCTTCCACCAAACCAGACTTACCAGCTGGATGCAGCTCTTCAAGCCGAAGAGCTGCGTATTGGAAATTGGATTGGTAAGACCTGATATGCCTCCTTAAAAATTGGCTATCAGTATCAGCCCCAAAAATCTCTATCAGTGCACCCCTAATTGGAATGCAGATCTCTTCTCCCCAACATGAGTGACTTAATCATTGGACTAGAGCAGTGGTGTCAGACACAAGACCCATGAGCCAGATCTGTCCTGTGGAACTTTACAATCCAGCCTGTGTATCATTGGACTGATCCCATGCACCAGCCCTGGCCCTGCGCACTACAGGCAACACGGGGGAGGTCCGGGGCACACAACAGGCAACCATGGGCAGTGCATTCCCCATGCTGGCCCCTGGAGCCACATGCACAGTGAGCCCTCGGGCTGACACATGTTGCCTGCAGCGCAGGGACTGGATAGGTTGTGCACCTGGCACAGGGGAAGGGTGCCAAGCAGTGCTTCACCAGACCCAGACTGAACATGCAGGGCCAGTCACTGGGGTGTCGCATAGAGCACATGCCCTGTGCTGGCCCGTTGCCATGTGCAGTGTGCGCGGCCAGTCCAGCCATGTGCACTGCAGGCTGCGTGTGCCCCATGCCACCCCAAGGGCTGCTGCATGCAGTGTGTGGGCTGGACCGAGCATTTCAGCCATTCCAGAGGGGGTTTGTCCCATTCTGCCAGCAGACTGGTTCAGGGTGCTTATCTGAATCACAAGACAAGATGAGTTTGACATGCCTAAACAAAAAAGTCACGAGCCTGTTTCTTCCCTGCTTTCAGCTTTCTGAATCTCCAGCTTTGTTTAGCACAATAACAGTTTCACAATGGTCATTGGCCTGAAAAGGAGGGAACTCTGGGCTCTGGTTCCTGCTTCTGCTCCTACTACTATCTTTTGCCAGTGGAGCTTAGCCTCTGACCTGTAGTTTAGATTGGGCCCAGAGAGCCACATCATCCAGCCTGTGGGGCTCTCCACAGGTCCAGAAATATGACAGTGGGGAAGCAAGGGTAATTACCAGATTTCCTGCCACTGAATTTCTAAGCCCTGTGGACCACATGATATGATCCTGCAGGTGGGTTGGTGCTGTGGGCAGAAGCTGGCACAGGGTCCAATCTGGTGTGTGAGGCCAGAACTGGGACTGGGGCCATGCATTGGGCTAGCCCCATGTGCCAGATCAGATCCTGGCTGGACAGGCCAGGTGTGGGCAAAATACAGCCTGCAGACCAGATCCAACCCACTAACTCAGTAGATCTGCCCTGCCGGTGGGTGGTGGCTTTGGCCCAGGCACTCTTTCTCTCTCTCTTTGTCTGGGTCCCCCTGAATCTGGACTTGGCAGATGGTCCACAGCTGCCCAATTGTAGCTGACAGTTTCCGGGTTGGGGCTCTGGGCATGGTGGGTGGGTTCAGGGTTCTGTATTGATTGCAGCCTGCAGCTGTAGCATGCCCTGCCCCCACTTCCATGTGCCTGGAGCTGCCACCTGGAAGCTGGTGGCCATTTTTGGGCAGCTGTGGACGCAGCCAGCAGCTGCTGGGTCCAGAATTTGGGGTGGAGGGCATTAAAGCTGCGGGCAGGCAGGCTCCGGCTGTGTGGGGGAAATGGGCCTGCTAAAGCTGTGGGCAGGGTCAGGCTTCCACGCTGGCTGCAGTCCTGGAAGGAAGGGAAAGGGGTTGGGGGACGGAGGAGAGAGAGAGAAGTGTGGCCCTAGACCTGGGGTGGGCAATTATTTTGGGCAGAGGGCCGCTTACTGAGTTTTGGCAAGCCATCGAGGGCCTCATGACAAGCAGCCAGGGGCAGATAAATATTAATTTTCTAAATTTTTTAGGGGCCCCGCAGGCCAGGTAGAATGGCCTGGCAGGCTGTATGCAGCCTGCATTTTGCCTACCGCTGCCCTAGGCAGATAACCAAAACTCATTAAGTGGTCCACCAACCCAAATAATTGCCCACCCCTGCCAGTAGCCCTGTGCACCAGATAGGGCCCCAATGGAGGCCAGGCCAGCCCTGTGCAGCAGATCAGACTCTGGCCAGGCCAGGCATGCCAGATCTGGTACCAGATTAGGTTCGTGCGGCAACACTACACCACTCTTCCAGCTTGCAGACCTGAAAGGTAGAGCACCACTGGTGTATTCCAATTTAATCTCCTTCAACACAATCAGTGATTGGGTAGCTGAAGGGAATGCAGTAGACATAGTGTACTTCATGCAATATTTTCATAAGTAAACTAGAGAATTATGGGCTAGATAAAATTACTACTAGGAAGATCCATAATTGGCTTAAAATGCAAGTAAAGGGATCTATAAATAATAGATAGATGTCAGAACGGCAAGAGGTTTCCAAGGGGCATTCCCTTCATCCAGTGCTGTTTAATGTGTTGAATGATTTGGAGGCCAGGCAATAGCGAACTTCCTGTTCAAGTCTGCACATGACAAAACTGGGAAGGAGTTGCATAACATTTTAGAGGAAAGGGGTAGATTTCAAAACATTCATGATAGATTGGAGTGCAGGGTTGGGGTCAGATGAATGAAGTTCAGTGCAGACAAAATGCACAAACTCAGAAGGGGAGATAACTGGCCAGGCAGTTAGTGTAGCTGAGAAGGATCTCGGAGTTTTGGTGGATTATAGGCTCACTGCAAGTCAGGTATGTGACACAGTTGCCAAAAAGCAAATATAATTTTGGTTTTTGTCAATAGGAGTATTATTTGTAAGATATGAGAGGTTATAGTATGGTCCCTCTTTGGTGCTGGTTAGTCTCCACATTTTTAAGAAGGAAGTGGTGAAGCCAGAGAGGGTTCAGAAGTAGGAGGCAAAATTGGTAAAAGGATTGGAAGGCAAGCTGTATGAGGAAAGCTTGAGAGAGCTAAGGAGGATTTGATAGCAGTTTTCAAATATTTGGAAGGCTGCCGTAGAGAAGAAGAAGAACTTTCCTTCCTTGCAGCAGAGGGCAGAACATAAAGCAACAGTTTTAAATTGAAACATAGTGGATTGAGATGAGATTTAAGGAAAAAAGTTTCCTTACTGTTAGAATGGTAAGGCAGTGAAATCGACTGCCGAGCTGGGAAACTTTCTTCACTGAAGGTTTTCAAGAGAAGATTAGATAAGCAATTGACAGGGATAATTTACAAATTTGTGCAGGAGACTGAATGACATGAAAGTTGTGGTCCCTTTAAACCCAATCAGTCTGTGAGTCTGTTCATTACATCAGACCTCTGTTAAATGCAGAATGAACACCACTGTGGGGAAGAAACTCCCTCCCTTCCGCTCTGGCCCTGCGACCCCCTCTCTTCCAGGGCATGCTACTGAGCCATACAGCCAAGCTCCCTCTTGCTTGCTGCCTTTCCAATTTATATATCTTCACCTTCTTGGCTGCCCAGTAGAACACCTTTAGCAGGAGGCCTGGAGGATGCTTTGGGCAATTGCTGGCCCATGGCCTACTTGTTAAAGTGCCTTAGAAGTGGGAGATACAGGTTCAAACCCCCTCTGAGTGAGTGTGGCTTAGTGCTCTGGGCGAGTGCCCCAGTCTCTTGACTTTTGCATTTAAAGGTTGCAGGGGAATCCCTGCTGTTTTTCTGTGACTTACGTGGAGTCATGTGGCTTGCTGGGGAGAGTAGGAGGATCTAAAATCCTGGAATGTGGCCTGAAATGCCAGCTAATTTTAGTCATGTAAGTGGTACTTGCCTTTGTAAAGGTGGAGTTCGAATTGTGCCTCTGTTTCTAAGGCTGGAAACAAATGTACCCTTTGAAACGCTTTGGGTTTGGAAATGTTTCAGAGACGTAGTGCTTCAGCTGTGGAACACATACAGCCCTGTCTCATTCTCCAGCTAGAGTGCTTCAGTATATCACTCCTCCCTGTGACAGCGGGCCCTCGAGCCGGGTGACTCAGCAGTGAGATGCAGCCACCTGGGATTCTTCCCTCTCTTCCCTGACAGGACTGTCAATGCTGCTCTCTATCTCCTCTCTCGGGGCTGTGGGGGCAAAAAGGGAGGAGGTGGGAGACTAAAGCTTGCTTACCAGCAGCAGGCATGTGGAGATCTAGTAGGGGTGGGGGTCTTGCAGCAGTGGCAACTCTTCTCCCCAACATGGAGTCTCCCAATTCCAGGTCTTCTGGTTTGGTGGGGCGAATGAGTGCCAGAGTGCAGGCAGCAGTAGTACCCTGACTGCTAACAGCGCTAATGCCCAGGGAATCCCAAGTGCCAACAGTGCTGGCACAGGGCATACAGGGAGCTCGGCAGCTATAGCCAGGGTGCTTGAGAGAAGCGGGGCAGGGTGGGGAAGGTACTGCATTTCAGGATGCTGAAGGACCAACAACCTGTACAGGCAGAACTAAACAATACAGAATAGTTCTTGCTCCCCACAGGTATGATTGTGTCACACCTGGGAGTGTTTTAAATCACCTTTATGACTGTACAGCAGCTTTTCAGTATTGCAAGTGAGATCTGTCCATCCACAACCTTAGGCTTATATGGGGATTTGAAGGTGCAGAACTTAGGTACCGAACTTTGGTCCCCCTTTAGACAAGTAAGCCTTTTTGTGGGTTTAGGCTGTAGTCTATACTTTATTACGTATGTGAGTTATTGACTATTTGACTTAATGTTGATTTTTCTACAAGCATTTTGTTATTTATCCGTGGTATTAAAAGGATGCATAATAGCTTATAGATTAAGTCTGTCTAATATATTTCTATTAGGACTTCTTACAGTGGATCCGAATAAAAGAATTAAAATGTCCAGCTTGAGATACAACGAATGGCTTCAGGATGGCAGCCAGTTATCATCCAACCCTCTAATGACTCCTGATAATTTAGGGTCTTCAGGAGCTGCCGTACATACATACGTCAAAGCCACTTTTCATGTAAGCTCAAAAAATCTTAAATTTAAGACTGTATCAGGAAATTGTTTTAAATGAGTTTGCTTATTTTAAAAATTTATTTTTATGCTTTGGCTCAAATCTGGCATTTCCATTCAGACATTTCCTAACTAGCCTCTACTCATTCCAAGGTACCGTGACCAGGCACGGGGATGGATACTGTTTTGCCTGTGGAGATTCAGTTTTGTTCTTTTATTGTGTACCTCCAGAGCCAGATGCTGTTTCACCCTGCATAATTCATCACAGGGTTCTCCCTTTTTTTCCAATGTGCAGTGTTTAGGTGTCTCCAAAGACCGATCCTATTTCACCTAGGTTGTGGTTGTTCAGCTGTTGGCCCACAGGCTGCATGTGCCCTGCCAGGAGAGTTAATCTGTGGTCCCTGACCTACTGCTCCCCCCATTGCTCCAGCAGCTGCAGCAGTCAGGGGCTCCAGGCTTCCCCTCTGGCTTTCATTTTCTGTGCATGCCGCATAGAGTGGTGTGGTGCAGCAGAGGAGCCCCTGTGTATGATAGGCTGGGAGGAGAGGGGAAAGCCACCAATCCACCTCTGGTGTGCAGTGAGGCAGGGGCCTACCTTCTCATATAAGCTGTGCAGTCAGGGAGAGACTACCTGCTCATGCACACACTGCAGTGAGGTGGGGGGTGCCTACATGTGTTCATGGTGCCAGGGCTTGCCCCATATTGGGGCAGCCAGTGCGGCCTTTGGCTTGCACTGTTATGCCTGCAGGGCATACAGCTGCTGCTGATGTGATCCAGGACATGGGAGACCTGGTTTATAGATCCCTGGCTGCTCAGAAGTTGGACAGCCCTGGCCTAGGTGGCATATAACTGCATTCTCTCAGTGGGGCATTTTAATGTAAGTAACACCTCCATCTGCTTGTAGTACCACTTTTGCCTTTTCATGTAAAAGGGAAACATCTTAATCTGTCTAAGGACCTGAGCAGAGAAATCTATACCACCAGGCAACAACACTAACTTCAGTGTAAATCCTCCTACTTCTTCTCCTACACCTTTGCCCAGGATATGGGAGACCTGACTTCTAGGATTCCCTCAATCTTAGGAAAGTTGAACTTGTATCTTTTTTGTCCCTGCAGAGTGACTTAACCACACAGCTATGTGTTAGACATGGCTGAGAATATCTTCTATTCCCTTAAGCTGAAGCTGACCTACTGGGTAGCCAAAATCAAAAAATCATGGAGCCAGAAGGAGATTAAGCAAAAAGTAGCCTGACTTCTGGGGCCAGAGTTCTCGGCACTGAGAAGGAGAAAGTCCTGATTTCTGGACCCTGCTTGCAGTATAGTGTTATGCATTTTATCTAGTGATTATTTTAATGAATGATGCATTACTTTCAGTGATGAAAAATTGGAGTATTTCCAATGTAAGTAATGTTATTCAAGACAAAGCCCCAACCCACTTCTCAGACCGGGAATCCTGGTCTGAGGAGCAGGTGGGAAGCAAAGAGTGTCTGCACTTCTACTTGGCTCCTTGTGGCCATGCTTTCTATTGGGAGAGCTGTGATTTCTTTTGGTAGAAATGCAACGCCTGTAGATGGCCTTAGGATATGTCAACATTAGTTCCACATTAGCCTCAAGACCTGCCACAAAAATAAGTAGTGCCCACCCACGCAGAACTTATAAATGAAATATTGAGGGTGCTCCTCTATTGCTACTCTTGAGGCTTATGTTTCAGGGGCAGGTTTGAGAGTGGAATGGGGCAGTGTAGATGTACCCATTGGAACCTAAAAAGCGTCATTTAAAAGGTTTAGTGGTAAAGTAGGATTTGATTTCATGTCGTCTATGATAAGTCAGCAAATCACAGATGTATAAGGCCAATGTTATAATTAAAGGCCAAAAACATACATGACAAAATACAATGAAACATATACACCAAAATGTAAATTGAAGTAGTAATTCATATTTTGAGCATGTGTGTGTATCTTTGGGATAAAAAATTCTGCAGAAATAGCTACCAGGCTTGGAGAAGTACAAGATAAGGTCCTTAAACAGAGGTTTGTAAGATGCCTATAACATTTTATTTATGTTTATTGCTTGATTTATTTTCAGTTTCATTTTCCTTGTGATTAGAAATTTGAGGTAAAGCATCACAAATGTATTGTGCTTTGGGAAGGCTTGTTAAAATACCATTCATGTTTTCTTACTAGACGCTTTCCAATGCTAGCCAAAGTTATACAAGTGCAGGCAAAGACAGAAATATAATATGGAATTCCAAAAGTTTTATTTTGGAAGAATAACTGAATCTTATGGTAGGCAGGTCAGGAACTTTTGCATTTTATTGATTTTATTACAACAGGACCTTGTTTTGTCTAAGCAGGAAAGAATGGGGTAAATTGTTTAACTTAAAATAGCCGATGTAGAACTCTTGATTAATGCAAAATGGTTTCCACTGTGAAAGTTGAAACTAAAAGTAAAGTTACGTTAAGTCAACGTACCTTGCTCAACTATAGTCTTGAGTTTAAGTCTCACTAGAAAACAAATTAAATATAGAAAGTGTGAGGAAAGGGTGTCTATTAATAATATATGTTTAAAGGCTTGTAGAATTATCTTCAGCCACATTAAGAATTGATAGATGTGACACTTGAGAAATTATAATACTTCTCATCATAGCACATTTGTAATAGGCTGCGAGTACTAAAATGTCTTTAACTTTTATAAGAGCATAGAATTACTTTTTATTTTTAAACAGGCTTTTAACAAGTACAAAAGGGAAGGATTTTGTCTCCAGAATGTTGACAAGGCACCTCTTGCAAAAAGAAGGAAAATGAAAAAGACAAGTACAAGCACAGAGACACGTAGCAGCTCCAGTGAAAGTTCACATTCTTCCTCCTCTCATTCTCATGGTAAAACTACACCTACAAAGACACTGCAGCCAACAAATCCTACAGACAGCAATAACCCAGAAACCATCTTCCAATTCTCTGATTGAGGAGCAGGGAAATGTCCTATCTCCAAGAATTAAGTGGTGAAAACTTGGTAATACGTGTGCCCCTTTGTCATGGAGGGATAACAGATATGTTTTGTTGCTTTTAACAATTAATTTCAGCTCTATGTTTTTAGCTTTCTATTTCAAGACATATGGTTGTAGTACTTGTTCATGAATACTGGGTATGGTGTAAGAGTTATTGTACAACCAACACTGTGCTCTCCTAAGGCTAAATTGTCAGTGAACAATTCGTTTTATAATAAGGAGTAGTACATTGTTGTGCTGTCCTCAGAGCAGCCTGGAAGAAGATTGGAAGGAAGATTTTGATATTGAGTAACAATTTCTTTGCTGCTCAAGGGAGGCAAAATGTTTTAAAAGACATAGACCGCTTGGAGTATATGCTCTTGCCTACCTGTCTGAGGGGTGTTAGACCAGCTCTGCTGACTTTGTTGTCCCTGGGACACAAGAAAAGGTGGTACAGTACACCAAAGCAAGATGGCACTTATGTCCTTTCTAAGTCCCTTGTGCTGGCACATGGGATGGGCCAGAATCTGGCCCTTAATTCAGAATTTAACAAAAGATTTAAGTGTTATGGTACTCTAATGTTATTTTACAAATTTACTCCATAGGTTTTGTTTTAAGCTACCTAGAGTATAATCAAGTCTTAGGTTTCTTTTACATCTAGATAATTTATGGTGGGCAGGTACAGCAATTTGTACTATGTTATTTTATTTCTACTTCTGGAGAATCTGAATTTTTAAAAAGTAACTTTTCAAATTCCACAAAAACAATACTATGCCTGAGTAAAAAAAAAAAAA